GAGTCCAGTGCTATATTTTTGTGGTCCTGTGCCAAATGTTTGGCCAGAAATCCTTATAGTAAACAACTTTTTGTGAATGTAAACAAAAGTATGTAACACAAAAATATATATATATAAAAAAAAAATATTGCAGTGATTCATTGTGTTTGAAAATTACTGAATAAAAGGAGGGGTAGTATACCCCTTCCAGTGTTCCATCCATATCTGTTTGTATGTATTGCTGTAAATGTGTAGTGTCAAAATAATCATAATGGTGAGTTAAGTGAAAAATACCCTTAGAGTGGGCAAAGCATACATCCACTTCCCATCCTAATAGAGGTGAGTTTTTTTGTTTTTTTACCTACCGGATCCTTATAGAGATGAGTTGCACCATTGTATTTCTAATACTCTTTGCCAGCCACCAGCCCTGACCTCAACTTATTCATGGAAAACTCCCTTGTTTTGTTGTCTATCTACAGTCCGTACCTCTGAATGGTACCTGGGTCCGGCCTGTGGCATCATTCAGTCAGAGCATACAGTCCAATTCCTGGGGGCATCCATGTACCACTAGACACACGTGCCTCAAGGCAATGGCAACTGCTTTTGTTGAAACAACTCGCCACTTTTTGCTATGACTGTGAGTGTCTGCCGCCGGTCCTGGCAATGGCCTGAAATTAACATCTCAGAACACTTTGAGATGTCATAATGAACCAACAAATATGCTAGCCAGTTGCTAGCCCTATTGTCACACTTCCCTGTGTGATGATCCGGCAACGGGTTTTACCTCCTTTCTGAGCTGCTTGGCTTCCTGCCAATCCACTCTGAACCTCTCCATTAAAAGTCCAGCTCACTTGTTCCGTGCCATTCGAGCAACCTGTCTTTACACCCAGTCGGACTTCCTGTTTATCTCTTGCCTCTGCAATCCCTGCGGTTGCCCACCACCTACCTTGTTTCCTGTGAGTCTGGATTCCCTCTTCCTCACAGCAAGATCCTGTACGTCCTGCATTGGATTGATCATCAGCTTCTTCACGTGAGTCCTTGCACCTGTGCCTACTTGTGTGGCTGTGTATATGCTTCAACCCTGTCTGCTGATGCATCCAGCACCTTGGTGCTGCAACTAACCTTTATGTCTGTGTGGGCATGCTAGAGGGCCGCAACCTGGAAGGTGTCCAGCAGCCAATCATCCTCACCATTAGAAGCTCTGTCGAACACCTGGCCCTTCTTAGAACCTGCGCCTTTGCACGCTACTTTTTGTCATTTTGTGTGCCCCGGTCGCAGACCGTGACAGTGTGCCCCGGTCGCAGACCGTGGCACCTATTGCTGAAGCAAGATTTATTCCCTCTGAGGTTATGTCAACAGAATACAACACAAACACTCCAGGCCCTGTCCTGGGTGAGGAACCAAAGGCCACACAACTGCAACACTACACAACACAGGTATGTGTAACATAAATACATATAACTGTAGCCAATGAGCAATTAGATTGTAATTGCTCATACACTCAAGCTTCTGACACTGCACGTAGGGCTGAGAACTTCTGCATTTATTGGTTTCCAGAGAAGGATGTGAGATAAATAACCATCACAGGGGTTACTGTTCTCTACAGTGGATGCAAATGTCATTAACAGTCAGCGACAAACTACTACTGACTATTTGGTAATTGCATTTACACTAAAGAGCTAAGGTCTGAATAATGGACACTTTTATACATTTTACTATTTCAATAACAGAAGCCCACAGAAAGCCACATGGGCTATTATAAGCTTATAAGTACAAACTTTTAGAAAAATACTCTAGCTCTGCTATCTACAAACAATGGAAAATGTTACAAATTTAAAATGTTCTACCATAAACTATACCTGTACTCATATTCTAGTAACTAAACAGCCATCAAAAATGGAATGCAGGTACCCTCTGGTGGTTGCACAGACCTGGCCTGCCAATCCTGCAACTCAATGTTGGTTATTCTATGTGATGGGCTACCTCACTGATCAGTAGTAAGTTGTGGGAGCCAAGGAGGGCAGGTTTCCTCTTAAACTTTCTTTTCCATAATACAGGTGTCCACCCATTGAAGCTGCAATGACTGCCTTTTGGTCGCTGTCTAGAGCCACCTTTGACACTTGATGAGGGGTGTGGCTGCTATACATATAGCCACCTTGCCCTAAGCAGGGTGACTCCTAAATGTAGTCTGCTGGATTTTAGCCAGTCCAAGCTAATTTGATAGTCTGTGGTCATTTGGTTTCCCCTAAACTCTTGATTATTGTTTGAATCTGTCTGCTACTGGGTGTGACCTTGCCACAGGGCAGCACATCTAATAATAGGACGTTAGGAATATGTGAGTCTTCCTAGCCAATTACTAGGAGGTTCATGGCCAGTGGTGCATGCTAGGGGAGGACATAAATATTGGGGGCTGACCTTGTGAAAGTCTCTTTCCCCTCCGTGCCTCCTGGCTAGGGGAGGGTGTGTGTGTGAGTTGCTGTCTGGCCAGATCTGTAGGTAATCAGGAATGCAGGTAATCAGGAATGGAGACCTAGTTGGGGTCTGCAACTGTCCTGCCAGTGAAAGAGGAACCTGTGCCTGGGATGGAGAACCAGGGAGGAATGTCATCTGCTGGAAGTGCCAAAAAAGTCAGGATGGACTTGGACCTCACAGGAATTCTGGTGTCTCAACCTAAGGAATTTTGTGCTATGTCCACTGACCAGCAAATGGTCTACAATGCACAGTGTTACTGCAATCAGTTTAAAGGCCCTCTGCACTGTGAATCTGGGAAGTGGTCAGTGAGTCTGGAGTCCTGTACTGTCCTAGATGCCTGTAGCCCGTTACCCTCTCTCCCATTAAGTTGCTTATGGAATAAAAGCTTTCAAAATCCTTAAAGTGGCTGGTGCCCAACTTTACATTCACATCCCACAACCGGCTAACGACTCATCTCTGAGGTGAAATGTCAGCCCTCCCTGCCTCTGAAGTCCCCCACATTCTCCTAGAGGTAAGGGGGATGTAACATACAGCTATGCCAGCACAGAACAATGGATGGGGGACAGCAGGAAGTTTAATTTCCTCTAGGAGAAAATACATTTTAAAGCAATTACAATTAAAAATCGTAACAATTGAGAAGATTTAAACTGGGCTTTCACATGAGAACTTTAGGCAGGGGAGTCTAAAACTGTTGCATGGTGCCACAGGGATTGGTGGCCATGGTGAAAGTAGAATTATTGTAACAAACTTATTTCAATATAAATATGAAAAAACAGGGGATTTAAAGGATTAAAGGAAATGTAAACAATAAAGCATTTTACTAGCTGAACAAGATGACTACTGTTCTGTAAACATAAAACATGGACCAACCTAAATAAAATAATAAATAAAATATAATGCAATCATCACAAATTATCATTATCATTTAGCACTCTAACAGTTATGAGTATAACACGTTTTGAATTCTTCCAGCATTGACTTCCTTTGCAGCTCTTTGTATTAGTTTTTTACAGTGCTGTGTTATCATCATGAGGTCAGGCAGTTCACAGGGTAGCAACTCAGAGCTCAAGCGGTCACTTACCTCCACCGCTCAGCTCATGTAACCTGTAATTAACCTCCATCGAACCTACATTTCACCTGCATCAAGTGGTTTTTGAATCCCCCATAGATTTGTATGTGAATGCACAACCCATCCAGAGAGAACAAAAGCCTGTTGGCATAGGCTCTCATAATAATTTAAACTAAACTGCTCGGATTCAAACATTACTTTAACACCACTAGACCCCAGTGACTGATAAGTTGAGTCTGTGTTTTGGACCTGTCCATGGATTAAGCCTTATTGGCAATTAATACGCCCTTTTTTTTGTCTCAATCCCATTACAGTTCAGTTCTTACCTGAGATGTTGCCATTGGGAGCTTTTAATAACTTTATTCAAGGCACTTACACCAGAATCCTATTCTTTTATTGGCTTCTATGTACGGAACTATTTCTTGCTTCACCGGATGGACCCTTTCTCTCTGGAAAAAAAAAACCTCTTCATAAAATTGGTCAATGGGGCTCTGCCCATGTTTAAGCTTATCTGTATTGCACTTGCATGCCCTACAAAATTAACTAAGCTATGGGGGTATGGTTAAAAGGTATATACTATTAATGTGAGATTTGAGGCTTTGCAAAAGAATACATGATTGTGATGAGAGGGAAAGTGTGTGTGCTCACGGGTTAAAACAACAAAGAGTTTCAACACTCCATCCAACAGCAATCTCCAGCCTCCAGGTGTATGGGGGTGCCAACCCGGAGCAATCCAAGCTCCAAATTAGCAATGTAGTACAAAAAAAAGCCGAACATCGCTGTTTACCACTTATATACTTTAAATAATAAAAATCCAGAATCCACATCCACTAGCCGCCCATCTCGTACACATTTCACCCTTATGGGCTTAGTCGTAGAGATTGCTCATGGGTTGTTTGTCTTTATAGTACACCACCCACTCTGTTAGTGGAGGTTTCCTATTCTTACTAGCCTGCACAAAGTACACTTATGTGTAGAATTGTCATGCAATATTGTACCCCGGTCATGCCGTATGTTTGTGGAATTCTTTGGAAAACAAATTTGACTAAAATTTGAATTTAAAAAAAATGTGCCTGTGTCCACTCCAGCCCACCCTAACCACCATGGCATGATGAGAATTAGGGGTATTCAACCCAGGTTTCTATTTTTTGGAATTTCAATGCATATCTATTTATGTCAGAGACACGTGCACATAGTTCAAGTATTCTTTTACAGAAAGGGCTTATTTTCTGAAAGGAGCTTGTTGTGTGGTCAGTTTAGATGCAAATTGCAGTTAGTCTGATTGTTAGATAGCAGGAAAAGTGTGGTAAGCTTTGAGGAAAGCTATTACATTTGAGTCACACCAGGCAGTTCTTTCAGTTCTTACATTTAAACATCCTGGAAGGGATGAAAGATCACAAAAGTGATATCTGAAAAGTGATTAAACAAAAAAACACTTCCTCTTTTTTTATAGATACCACATCCCCATTCTGTGCAGCAACCTTATACTGTCAGAAGAACACAACACCAAACCAGAGACAGCTCCAGCCTGCACGATGGACCAAGAAATCCTGGGACACATCGTCCTCTTGGTAATTGTCACTTTGATCAGCGTCATCCAGAATGGTAAGATTGTCAACTCAGTATTATTGGGTGCACATCACATTAAGAATATACACAGAGTGGCCAGACTATTATGACCACCTGACGTTTGTAGGCAAATTAGCTATAATTAGCTATAATTTTCCGCTGAAGTTGCTAGAGGGCCAGCCCATTATAAATAGGGAAGCAGGTTGTTTGCCACGACAGTAGAAGTGATTTGTTTCTGAAGATACGGGTAAACAACGCGATTTAACAGCCTTTGAACGTGGGATGATTGTTGGCGCTCGGAGCCATGGAGCGAGTATCAGCAAAACAGCAGAATTTGTTAAATGTTCAAGAGCAGCTGTTGTTAAAGTGTTTAAAGACTGGACTGTCAGCCGAAAATCTGGGTCTGAACGTGCGAATTGTGGCCGTCAGCGACTAGTCAATGTTAGGGCAGAACGGAGAGTGGCAAGACTGGTAAAAGACAACAAAAGGGCAACAGTGCAGTGTCAGATTCCTCGCATCACCTTTCAACATCTCGTGGAGTCACGAGGCGGCCCAACGAAGTCATCTCATGGAGTCATCTCGTGGCCCAACGAAGTACTGATGGGGTGGTCATAATAATCTGGCCACTCAGTGTATACAGTATATATAGTAAGTTTGCCTTTATAATGTGTACCAGCAACCAGTAGAATACAAGCTTTGTATTCTTAATTTTTTTAGTTACATAACCTTCTTTTTCCCTATAATTATTCTTCAGTTTGCACTGCTAAAGGAGATCTTTCTATACATAGCCCCTATGTGTACATAACTGACTGGCTACCTACAGCTGGCTGATCATAGCAACCTTTGGAAAGATCCAGTTAACATTGGATTTTTATTTAGACTATAGCCTGTTCACATGAAAACCGAGCCAGTAAGTGGTGAGAAAAATAGAAACTGCTAGCCAGTATTGCAATAGTGTACCTTCATCCCAATACATTTCTACTGTATTGTATTGTGACCCCATAATTATCCTGTACTATCCTGGTGTTAAAGCTGAACATACAGACATCTGTGTGTTCAGCAAGTAGTCGGGGTTGGTGAATGGAGAGATGTTCCCTTCAACTTATGGTGCTTTAAATTTTAAGCCTAAGGTATCCTGCGATGTATTGAGCTCATTATTGCAGTGATGTAGTTGGAAGTCAATATTCACTGTATTAGGCAAATTTTTTCCAGGACTCAGCAGTTCAGTGCTGACATTTCTTAGGGGTAGTTCACACCAGATGCAGTTGTGATGCAGTCCCTTCAGTTTGGCAGCTGCATCCAAAATACATCACAATGCTTTCCTATAGGATTTCTGGTGCTCTGTTCACACCAGTACAGTCCGTTCTGATGCTGTCAGAAAAAATACTGCTTGCCCTATTTTAGCTGCATCAGATTACAACGGAACACATGCTAACTCAATGGAAAGCACCTGAAATCCTATTTTATTCAGAAAAAACCCCCCAAAAAAGCATCAAACATGGTAAAACTGCGGTAAAATAGCGGCAACATGCATCACGCTGCAGCTGCGCAGATGCACGCAGTTATGATGTGAACTAGCCCTTAGTATAATGAAAATGGATTGGTAGTTTACCATGAACAGCCAATAATGAAATGCGTTGTGCAGTCTGATGATGGCCGTTGTACCCTAAAATTGTAATGTTAAAGTGACATTAAACCCTCAGATTTTTTAACATAAAACAATACTGTAATGTGCGCCTTACTGTAATCCATGGTTGTTTCCCTTCTCTTAGCTGCTCTTCCTTTTAAATCTGTATCTGTTCTCATGCTCTGCAGAACTTCTGTTTTGCAGCAGACTGCCTTGTCTCAGGAATGGATACACGGTGTCTGTGTATAGGTTTGTATAGGCTTGTAACCTGAGCCAGCACTACAGGAAGAGGCCCTGAGCTGAAAATGGAAGTTCTCCCAAAGCATGAGAAGACATGAGGATTTAATGTCAAATCAAAACAAGGATTGTACATAGAACAATTTTCATATTGTTTCATAAATATTGTTCATATTTCCACTTTGACAGCCATGTTGGGGTAACAATGTTCCTTTTCACATAGCATGGGCTAAAAAAATATTTAAACATTACTATTTCAATTTCTTTTACTTGGGTTAGGGTTTCTTGGCTTCTCAAGAGTTCAAATTTCGACATGCTTCTCCTTCTTCATAATGTTAGGAAGGGCTGCGAGGGGGTTGCTCATTATAATTTGTAAAGCAGATTTGAACACTGCCTGTCCAAAAAGATTAAAACTATGGCTTCTGCATTGGATGTTACTGACGTTAATGAGAGAAAAACAATCCACAATTTTCAGTCCTACATCACTAGGACGATGCTGAGAAAAACCTGGAATCAGCCATGTTGCCTGGTGCAACAAAACATCTAAAACGTAATATATACTGCATATATAATACATATAGCAACCAATCAGCTGCTGGCTCCGTTCAGGTATTCAGGCAGCAGCCGGTGGCAATGAAAACAGTAGGGGATTTGTCTGTCAGTGCAGTGTAGCATTAAAGGAGAACTATGAGGTGAGTGATTTTCACTCACCTCATAGTTCTAGCCGGCTCAGTAAATCGGGAGGTGAGCGAACACATACCGGCGTTCGCTCACCTCTCTATCCTGTCACGGCTCTCTGCCGTGACAGGGGAGGGGCTGGATTCCCCCCTCAGCGCTGACTGGCGGAACGGACGGGGGAGGGGGCGGGTACAGCTGGCTCTGCCTTTAGGTAGGCGGAGCCAGCTGTCAGTCACGCAGCTGGGCGGATCCCGGCACAATTGTCGGGATCCGCTTCAGCTGCGGCGTCTCAGTATACCGCGAGCTACAGCTCGCGGTATACTGAGCCTAGGGTGACGGGAGGACGCTAGTTTGTGTCCTCCCGTTACCCTAAGGAGAACTATGGGGA